ATCTATGTGGATAAAAAAAAATTTTTGAAATTGAAAAGGGCCCTTTTGTTGGGGGGAAAAAAAAAAAAAAAAAAAAAAAAAAAAAAACTAAAATCTAACCCAAAACTGTACTGACAGAATAAAAAAAGTCAAACTTCTCTTTCTTTTCATCCTTTTTGTTGCAGTACATTTCCAACTAGAGGAAAATAATTATATACTTGAATGTTGTATTCCAGGAAAAAATAATTCTTAAACTACATCCAAAGTAGCAAACATTGTGTTAAATGGTAAAAACAAAAAACTAATTCCCTGATTGTTCTGAATGCTACAGTAGTTTCATAAACCTGCTTCAACATACCAGCTCTGCAATATCAGGTATAAGTATCGATCCAATACCAGATAAATACAGGGCCTGATACCAATACTTTTATTTTGATATATCAAACTTCTGACCTTTAGGCATTTTTTGTGGTTTTTCCTTTCTAGGTCACACGTTTTAAATAATTCAAAGTCTATTGGTCTAAAAAAAATACTCTAACAAACCAGCAAAAAATAAATAAAAAATGTTCAGACAGAATATTGTTCAATGGGTGAGCTTTTTATAAGAACAAACATCTAAACATTAGATCCAAACATCCATCTGTTAACTGCTGAAGAAAAGCAACCCAACAGAAAATGAAGACGCAGCATTTCTCATGAATGATCTTAGATCTTTTTTCTTTACAAACTTCAAATAAAAATGGAGAATTGCTGCTAATTTGGAAATAAACAACTTGAACTGAGGTGCACAGTCTTTTCCACTTAATTCTGTGTGGCAGTAGGCGATTTGGTCAGCAGGTCAGAGGTCATGTCTCTGATGGTGCTGAGGGGCAGGCTGGCCAGGACCCCCTGGTGTGTGGTCTTCAGCTCCAGCAGAGCATCCAGGATTGTCTGGCGGTCGACATGGGGGTGGAGCTGGGTGAGCTCGGCCATCAGCGCGTCCAGGCCATCCATGGTGCCGAAGTGCTGAGGTACGCAGGTTCCCTTAGCGGTGGGAAAGATGCTCACCACCTTCCTGGTTTGGATGCTGGAGCTGAGGACTGCTGGGTTTACCGGCTGGGCAGACAGAACGGTGAAGGTGAATTTAAGGCACAATAATCTTACAGCTGAGCTAGAAATACTGATGAAACCCGAGATATTTCAGAATGTCTAGTCCAATTGTTTTATCCATCCTAGGGATGACCCGGTCCACTTTTCACTTCCAATACGATAGAGATATCTGAGGTCTCGTATTAGCCAATACCGATCCAAGAAAATGCAATTAGGGGCTCTGAATGATAATAATAATAAAGCATGATGCTGCTCAGAGCACAGAGCATAGAATTAGACTTAATAGAACTGCCCTTATGGATCGGGCACATTGTCATCAATACCTAGTCTAGCATTTTTTTCCCCTATATCAAAGTCGAAACAAATATTAATATCGGATCGATGCATCCATACTCCATTTCATGTGGGAATTCTTGGTTTTGCCAAGCTCTCTGTAGAACCTTTATTCAAATGTCCCTGTAGACCAAATGAAAGGTGCTGGAGAACAAAATGTGCAGGTTTCATATCCAAGACATAAAAACCGAACTCTGGTCACACAAAAACCAGTAACAAAGAGGCAAAGTGCTGAAGGTTCTGAGTGAAAGCAGAAACAAGAATAGATTCTCTGCTGGAAATCATTCAGATCTGAAGTCTTCCATGCCAAAGTGGATCGTTTTCTCATCTACATAAAATCCCCTTTCTGATGTGAATACAGTTTTACACTGGCTGTCATAGCAACCTACAGATGAGCAAAGGAGAGCCTGCATATGTGATCCAGCTTGGCTCCTCGTCAGGTTTACAGTTTAAACAACACGAGAACAACCGGTTTAACAAATAAGTGAAACACTCAACGTCATCATGGACAAAATGCATTGAAACGAATTCCATTAAATATGATAGGATGTCTTGTTAAATGTATTTGTGTGCAGCGCTGTTTGCATACTGATGTAAAGGATTTGTCAGACATGCATGAAAGAATCAAAGCAGCACTGCAGGTATGTTTTTTGAATAACATAACATAATGTAAAGCTATAAAAAAAGTTAGTTTTACATAATGCTGCCCCTTGAACCGTTTTAAACCGAGTCTTATTTTATGGCAACGCAGACCAGAACTCTGAATATCCATTACTGCCACCTGCTGGTATATTTCTGCATAGGAACTAATAATGCTCTGTGCAACAAAGCAACCTGAACATGACTGCTATGTCAGTAACCCTGAGTTTGCTGCTGTGAGGTTTTAGTTGCTCTAATAAATCCTGTGGTGTAATCCTCAGTAGATCCATCTGTTCAATATGATCCTCTCATACTGCCTAAAAATGCCAAGTGCAATATCTTTACTGAACATCTTAACAGTTCAATCTTACTTTTATCATTGCCTCATCTTTTAAGCAATTACTTGTATAGTATTTATTCTAGTTTTTTTAATTGCTGTTTTTGCCTGCACTAGTTACACCTGTATGTATATATGTATATATGATCACACTTTTTTTTCTGTGTACTCCGGTAGCCAAGCAACAACATTTCGTTACTAAATTCACTTTTGTGTCTTTGTGTAATAATAAAGTCTAAATCTCAGTATTGCAGTCAGGAAATAAAACCAGTCCTAGAGAGGACATCTGGCCTTCTCCAGATGTGTGTAGACCCAGAAGCATGGTAGTGTCCCCATGGCAACAGGCTCAGTAATGCACTCGGATTCTTAGATTTGCCATTTTTGTTGAAAAATATCCGTCATGTATCGTGCATAGTGGAGTTTAAAGGATTAAAGTATGAAGGATCCATCAATCAGAACCTCACCTTTTTCTCAGTGAGCCTCCAGTTGGCCTCAGGATCCTGCGGGGCCGTGGACCCCAAAGTGGAGCCAGGTGTGTGGCCCCCAACAGCGGATCCACTCAGGTGCCTGACGTGCATGGTACGGCTGTGCAGTCTGTGACCATTGAGCTCTCCGACTGCAGCTTTAGCCATCTCTGGGCCATCCACCATCACTATGGCAACTCTAGAGCACCGGCCAGAGACAGAACCTCCATGAGCAAACACTGGAACCTTCCAGAGAGTTGAACGGATCCAGTGAAAAGCGATGAGCGACAGTAGCTCACCTCACGCCGTTCTTTGAGGGGAAGATGCTGACTTCTGACGGCTGGAAACTCTCAAACAACTGCCTCAAGTCACTCTGAAACATGTTTCAGGCTCTTTTAGTAAAATACTTGTGAAAACTACGATGTAGCTGGGTTTTTACATGCAGAACAGATGAGCAAACCTTTCTCCCAAAAATGTATGCATCATCACAAACTGAAAATATGCTTCTAGCCAGGTCTGATTCTTTTAGCTTCCGTTTTAAGCCACGTCACAGTGATGCCAACCTCCATCTTTGGCTTCTTAAAGCGACACCCAATGACTAGTTTTTCCAACATTAACAAGAAAGTCCAAATAAATGCTGTTACTTTGACAATTCTTAATGTTTAAATAGCTATGCTATCGCTCATGTGTGAACCCATTTCTGCATTTCCATGGCAAATGTGCTCAAAACTTTGTCGATACTCAGCTAATGTCAAAAAAATTCCGGGGTTCCCATTAAATAAGGAAAGCAATTAATGTGAATGTGAATGAGTCTGTTCATGCGATAAGTAAAAACATACTGGACCACGAGCCTCCCACTACTTCCTGTCGTCTTCTTTGTGGTTTATGTCAGTAGTAACATCTGGTTGTTCATGTTACTATGAACTACTGTTCATGTCCTATTGCAGTTTTGTGAAATAAACCAAATTTTGTTAAGGCACAAAGCAAAAACAAACAAAAAAAACCTCATCCTCCTACACCAAAAGTTTTTCCATCCAAAACTGAGTTTTTCAAATTTGCTGAGTTTCCATTGGGCAAAATGTGGTCAATAGAAATGCAGTTATTGTCAGCTAATGCTTCACATGTTTTAGTTCTTTCAACATTGAGACGGAAACACTAACTTTTTGGGAAACTGATGTTCTGCTCATCCAGAACATTGCAGCAGTTTGTTTCATTTGTGATACAGAATAACAGGAAATGTTGACTTCTAGCTATTCATTAATTTTTTTTTCATTCCACCAATGTGATTAAGACGCTTATATCAATAATGACTAGAACATTTATGAAGAAATTTCTATATCTTTCTGCTATAAACCGTTAAGGCTGCCAGCTCTGCTACATGATGTCATTTCTAATCAGCTTTATCAGTCATGTACTGCCCTCTGCTGGCCACAACGAAGTACAACTCACTGGATTTCAAAATGATCATTTAACCAAAATCTTCCACTTTCCCTCATTTGATGTTAGATCACCAAGTAGCACGTGTGACTAAACTGACCTGTGTCACATGACCAGGCAGGTTGGATACATACAGCACTGAGCTGCTGCTCTCACCACTGACTGATTCTGCATCTGTCAACACACACAGACAATTCAAACAGATGAAACCCAGATGATGTTTTGAGTAGCTGCTGACGACCTACTGTCGGCCGTGTCTACTGCCGGTGCTGGCAACTGCAGCTCCTCCTCAGCGTCGTACCACGCCTCACTAAAGTTCACCTCCTCAATGCCTACGCGGCACAAAAACAGAATAAGAACATTCAGCTACAGTTGTGGTTTTATCAGCCGTGTAAAGGTTCTGCTCACCCATTTGCTTAACCAATCGCTCTTTGGGTACAAGAGCTGCAGCTCCCTTGTCCTCTTCATCTTCCTTGTGGAGCAGTTTGGGTTTCTGGAGGGGAAACAGATGGTAGTTAAGGTTAGCTGCTGCTGTTGCATGGAGCACATTGTGGTGTTGGGGGTTGTGATCACACCTGGCAGCTCTGTCTGTCCCCGTCAGGACCTCCACCGTCTCCAGCTCCTACATGCTTCTGTGTCCCCTGGGTGGAACTTAGCATCAGAGAGGTGTATTAAATATATTAGCCAACAAGTATTGCACTCCATACAGTCTTTGCGTCTCTCGGTGTATGAATATTGCAAATATTGCACACATATTACGATGATGTGGCCTTATATTGTGCAGTCCAAGCTGCAACTAATGGTTATTTTATTAATCAATTACTCTGTTGGTTATTCTGATGATTAATCTGATTTTAAAAATAGCAAACACTTGATCAAATCCTTCTAACGTCAACATGTGAAAAGCTCAGCTCTTTCTGCTGAATTTAGTGATGAATACATTTTTCTTTCATTTGTTTTTAATGAAAAATATATTTTTTATACAGCTTTGGCCTAATTACTGCTCTGATAATGGTGTTCTTTTAACAAATGACCTTTTATTGGAATCTCTATACTCTAATCAATTACTAAATTAGTTGACGATTATTTCTGTCATCAATTAATCACAAGTCATCTGATGCATCGCTTTAGCCCCAGACTAAACCGTCTCCATGACGAGGGGTTTTTGAGAAGCTCACTAGAAAATCACCACCTGCTGTTTTTCCTTCATGAACATCATTAGCTGAAGCTCACCATGCAAGAGGCCTTGTACGAACATCTGCCTCACACAGGGCCTTTTTACCCAAACCATGAAGAAATAATTCAGCTGACTTCCTAATTAAGTTTGCAACATCTCACTGGTTGTTGAACTGAAACTCCAACAATGTGTGTCCACTTACCAAGAAGGAGTCTTTTCCTGCAGGTCACCAAGGATCTAAACAAAGAGAGACAGACTGTGGAAGGTTCTCAAAGCCCAGACATCTGGGCTCTTGCCTGGGGGTTGTGAGTAACCTCTCACCTGTTCAGGGACGTAACATGCTCCTGCCGTGATCTTCTCAGACTCCACACACAGAGGACTCAGCTGCCCCAGAGGAACCCCCGTCAGGATCTGGTGCTTCATCAGGTTATAGTCAGTTTCCAACTTCTGCAGGATCTTCACAACGTTTGGTGGCAGGTCTTCAGCTCTGCAGAGAGGTGATGGATTTTTCTAGAAAGCTCTTAGTGCAAACAAAGGGAGTTTAATTGCCCTGTGGGTTCCTCACATTGCCGTGGACAGGTGTCCCTCAGCGGACGTGTAGTAGAGCCTCCAGACGTGCTGCCTGCACAGCTCATAGTGCAGGGTGAGCAGGGTCAGCTCTGCTTGCTGGGCGCGCTGCTTACAGCAGCAGTCCATTCTAGGAGCAGTCGACACACTGCCAGGGCTGGAAAATACATTCCAGCCCTGGAATGTATTGTATAGCAGGCATCAACTGCCGGTGGACCAAAGGCAAACCACTGGCAGTCTGCTGTTGGTGGTCCACAACTACCAGGTTTAGCATGTTTTCTGTGTCACATCACCTTTCTAACACCTTCTAACACCACACAATAGGCATTTGGGACCACCAGATCTTGCTCCTACACATTACCTTTTGCTCTTCTTCTTTGGCTCCTTGCGACCTTGAATCATCTGGAGTTTGACCAACTCCTGAAAGGATAGAGAAGGTGAGAAACCATCTACAACAGTCCTAACCAACACGAGGTTCCAACCTTACGTCAGCCAGGTAGTCCAGATCGGACATAAGAAGCTCAGTCATGACGTTATGTTCGGATGTGTTTGGTCCTTCAGTTTGGGTCTGCTTTGCTGTGCAGCTCTCTACCTCAGTGTTCACTGCAGCGTCACAGCTGGGTGCGCAGGGAGCAGTGGAGGTAAACTTCTCTGCAGCGCTCGTCAGCCCGTTGGCTGCTGGAGGGTCGCCCAGCTGGATCGAAGCCCCAGCATTCTGCAGTGTCACACCGTTGCCTGCCAAGCACACCAGGATGCCCCTATCATCCTTGATGGGGAAGTTGAACTGACTCCTTTCATCTTCGCTGTTCAGTCCGATCTCCACGTGACTGGCTGCCGTTTTCTTGCCACCAAGCACAATGTTTTCTCCTGCAGGACCTGTAGAAGGAGGAGCCTGCTGGATCTGCGCTGTGTGGCTGGTGCCCCCCTCTGAACACTGTGTGAGCTTCGTGGCGTCCACTGCTGGCTGCTGTGAGGAACCGCTGTTTTCCACTGGACACTCTGAACTGTAATATGAAAACATGTGACGGCTCCGTTCAGCCAGAATTCATCTCCTACTCTGAAATTATACCATATCTTCAATAGCCTTGAAAAACTAGGTTGCATTTTTATTAAAACGTCACATTCTCTGTGAAAACCAGCAGAAACAAGTATATCGGTTTAATAATTTCTTTAAAAATTGCTTCAATCTAAATTAATCTAAAAAGTTGTTAAATTGCCATAAAAAATAAGTGAGAGAAAGAGGAACTGATGGGATAAAATGAACATGTCATGGTTAACATGATCACAGCAGGTCATTGTGAAAGTCATGCCTGGAACAGGATTGTTGAAAGTTTCAGTAAGTTAAATTTAAGAACTTTTACAACCATTGACGAAATACAAAATTGACGCGATATATTAGCAGAAACATTCAATTTAACATTTTAACCAAGAGATATTTTGTTGTTGTCAATTAGTTACCAAAGAAGATTCCAGTTTATATAAAAAGATCCAATTATGGAAGTACAGGAAAAAAAAATCTAAAAAATTATTTTAACCCAAATAAACAGAACACTATTGCAATCGGACTATATGTCAGAGCTCATCCCCTTTAACTCTCAGTTCCAAAGGTTTTTTTGGGGAAAGTTTTTCTTGTACTAAGGATAAACTTGGGCTGAAAGGATGGGGAAAAAAGCAATCTGATAAACATTAATATTTATTTTTTAGTCTTTCCGATTTCTCCACAGTTTCCTAACTGTACTCATTTTCTGCTGTCACTCCATGCTGGGGTATTTTTATTTTTAAGGCGTTATGAGGCACGGTGGTGACTCCTGAAACTGTGGTGATGTGAACTCACTGCGTCTGGATGGTGGAGG